CCTTACATATATGAGAATATTGATACAGTCCGTATAAAAAACAGTAAGGCGGCTCATCACAATATTAAAATAGAACTACCATATTATCCAGCAAGCCCACGTCTGGGTATTACATCCAAAGGAAATACAGTCAGTATCTCAGAGGGAATTCTGCAATCACAGGTTTATTGCAGCATTTTTCACGATAGTCAAAGACACGGAAACAACCTAAATGCCCATTCATAGGTGAACGGATAAAGAAATTGTGAGATGTACACACACACACACACAATGAAATATTATTCAGCCATAAGAAAGAATAAAGTCTTGTCATTTGTGAAAATATGGATGAAGCTGGAGAATGTTAAGTAAAATAAGTCAGATACAGAAAGACAAATGTTATATGATCTTACTTACAGATGGCGCTTAAAAACATTGAACTCATAGAAACAGACTACATAGTGGTTTCCAGGGGCCGGAAGGTAGGGGATATAGGGAGACATGGCTCAGAAGGTACCAACTTTCAGTTTTAAGATGAATAAGTTCTGGCAATCTAATGTACGGCACGGGTGGCAACAGATGTTGCCTCAGTCCATTCCTGCTGCTTTAACAAAATACCTGACTAGGTAGTTTATACGTGACATAAATTCATCGCTCACAGTTATATAGGCCGGGAAGTGCAAAATCCAGCCATTGGCAGATTGTCTCTGGTGAAGACCTTGCTCTCTGCCTTCAAGATGACTCCCTGAATGTTACGTTCACAGATAGCAGAAGGGCAGAAAGAGCAGAACTCACTCCCTCAAGTTCTTTTATGAAGTCATTAATCTCAATGATGAGGGCACAGCCTTTGTGACCTCACCACCAGCTAAAGGCCCCACTTCTTAATATTATTGTTTTGGAGTTTAAAGTTTCAACACAAATTTAGGTGGAGGACAAACTTGTAAGTCATGGCAGACATTGATTTTGTGACAATTACCACACAACGTGTATTTGGAGGTATCTTGAATATATCCAATATTATCTCCCAACTAACATTTTAAAATTAAACATACAAATAAATAAAATATGAAAATAATTTATCCATTGAGCAAAAAAGGCCCACTGAAGATTTCTGACCAAAACCACCACTGACTCTGGTGCTGTGGGGCTGCTGAGAACTGAAAGATGAAGAAAGGAGCAGGATTATATGTCTTCACCGAAAAGCCAACTCTGAGGGTGAGATGACACTAACTTGGGTGAGACAATGACAGGTGACAGCAAATAAAAAAGAATTCATTATATTTTGTTAGCTTATTGGAAAAAAATTCCTGGCCACAAAAAAAATCTCAATTCTGAATGAACTGCTAAATCAAATTTTAAATATACATCCTGATTAAAAAAACAAAAACAACATTTCTGTGGCCTTAAAATAGAGAAAGATTTCTTAAATAAAACAAAAAAATTTAATATGCTGGGGGAAAGAACAAATAACATTCTATTAAAATTAACAACTTATCAAAATACAGAATAAATTATATTTTGTTAGTTTACTGGAAAAAATGGAATTCCTAGACACAAAAACACTCAATTCTGAATGAATTGCAAAATAAAATTTTAAATATACATCCTCATTTAAAAAACAAAATCCCTGTGGCCTTAAAATAAGAGAAATATTTCTTAAATAAAAAATATTTAATATACTGGGGAAAATAACAAATACAATTTATTAAAATTAAGAGCTTATCAAAATACAGAAAGAGAGAGACTGAGTGAGAGCAATACCAAAGAAAGGACTCTTACCCAGCTTCATGTAAAGAACCACTATAAATCAAGAAGAAAAAGACCCCTAAAATAGTGGGAGATGAGCAAAGTAAGTCTTCAAAATAGAGGTTATCCAATAACTAAAAGTGTGCTGAAATGTTCAAGTCTGTTAGCAATCAGAGAAATGTAAATAAAGCCTGAGACCATCACACAGCAACCAGAAGACTAAACGAAAATGATAGAAAATACCATGTGTTGGGCTGGGCACGGTGGCTCACGCCTGTCATCCCAGCACTTTGGGAGGCTGAGGCGGGTGGATCACGAGGTCAGGAGATGGAGACCATCCTGGCTAACATGGTGAAACCCTGTCTCTACTAAAAATACAAAAAATTAGCCGGGCGTGGTGGTGGGCACCTGTAGTCCCAGCTACTCGGGAGGCTGAGGCAGGAGAATGGTGTGAACCCGGGAGGCGGAGCTTGCAGTGAGCTGGGATTGCACCACTGCACTCCAGCCTGGGAGACACAGCGAGACTCCGTCTCAAAAAAAAAAAAAAAAGAAGAAGAAGAAGAAAAAGAAAATACCATGTGTTGGCAAGGATGTGGGTACCCTAGTAAATTCACATATTACTTGTTGTACACCATTTAAAGTGTCCCTGCAATGTATTCATCACTGTTATGATGAGCAGCCATGTAGTAACTTTCTATTCTTCACAAATCTATGAGGTAGGTGCTGCCATTATCAGGATGAGAACTTACACATGGAGATGGTAAGTGATTTGTCTAAATTCAGACACTGGACAGGAGTAGAGTGGGGACTTGATCCTGTCTGGACTGAAGTCACGGAGTGCCTTTAACTGACATGCTCTATTATGATTGGTGAGTCATCTGCTGTTAGATTTTTGGATGTGAGCACATCACATAACTAGCCTTCTCCTTTCTCGCTATAACAATTGCCTTATAACATTTTGGATTTCTACTCATGTAAAGTTACAGGTTTCAGGTTTCAGGTACTATCGCTACCTGGTAACAAACAGTGTAGACCATCTGTGTGGTTAAGGGAAAGAGTTCAGAAGCCCGGCAACCCACAGTGGAGAAGATCACCTAAGCCTCCAGTGAGGTCTACTATATCTTGCTGAAGTTTGTGTCCATAAGAAGGTCATTTTGTCTAAGTTCATCAAGCCTTGTGGTCACAGGAGAATGCTGGTGAGCAGCAATGCTAAGGAAAGCCCACACTTTGGCTAGGAGTTTAGTATTGGGAGGGGTACTCTCCCATACTTTGGGAGGGAATAATATAAAATGATTATTTCCCTTCTCTTTGCTCATCTGCACCTAAACCATGAGGAACTATGCATATGCACCTCATCAGAAGAGTGCACATAACAGCAGCAAGAGAAAAAGCAGCACAGAAAACACAAGGTCACTAAGTTTTCCTACACAACAATCACTTGTCAGGCAACTGTCTGAGATGCCTAATTCTCCCCAGAGTGGATGTCTCCTTGTACACGCACACGTGTGACACACACACAGATACAGTTTGGCTCCGTGTCCCCACCCAAATCTTACCCTGACATGTAATAATCCCCATGTGTCAAGGGCAAGACCAGGTGGAGGTAACTGAATCATGGGGATGGTTTCGCCCATGCTGTTCTCATCATGAGTGAGTCTCATGAGAGCTGATGGTTTTATAAGCATCTGGCATCTTCCCTGCTTGTACTTCTCCTTCCTGCCACCTTGTGAATTTGTGAAGGTGCCTTGCTTCCCCTTCACCTTCTGCCAGGATTGTAAGTTTCCTGAGGCCTCCCCACCATGCTGAACTGTGAGTCAATTAAACTTCTTTCCTTTGTAAATTGCCCAGTCTCAGGAATTTCTTCATAGCAGTGTGAGAATGAACGAACTACATATATACGAAATAATACTATATAGTACTATATAGTATACTATATAGTATACACCACTATCAACTACGCTAGGGTACCCAAATTTCTTTCAATATAGATGCAAAAAGTCTCAAAAGATACTACAAAACTGAATTTACCAACACATAAAAAGACTTATACTTCATTACCAAGAGAGACTTAATCCCCCAGAAAAGCAATGTTGTTTTTGCATCTAAAAGTCAATTTGGCTGGGCACAGTGGCTCACATCTGTAATCCCAACACTTTGAGAGGGCAAGGCAGGAGAATCACTTGACCCTAGGAGTTTGAGACCAGCCTGGGTGACAAAGTTAGACCCAATCTCTTACTTTAGAAAGTCAATTAATGTAATACACCATGTTAACAGAATAAATTTCAGAAACCACAAGATCATTCCAAGAGATGCACAAAAACCATGAGAAAAACTTCAACAATACTTGACAATGAAATCTTCAATAATAATGGACAGCAGGAAACTTTCTCAATCTACTTTAAGGAATTTATTTTAAAAATCCTCAGCTAACATCATACATGATGGTAAGACTGGATGCTTTCTTTCCCAGATTAGACACAAGACACTGTTCGATCACAGGTGTCTCTCCTTAAACCAATGTGACCGGTGCAAATAGCCAAAAATAATGACAATGTAAAGAACAACAGATGAAAATAATAATTCACGTGAGAATATACTCTATAATAAACTTTACATACTTACAAATTGACAGCAACTCTATTAGCAAAGAAAATAGACTCATTTATCAATTAATAACAAAGCAATTAAACTACACAGAAGTTAAACCTACATACATGTTACAAATACATTTCACACATCTACTATGTAACCCACAAAAATTTTTAAAAAATATTTTATATTTTAAATATTTAAAAAATATTTTTTAAAATGGCTATGCAAGAAAAAAAAGGAAAAGAAATACATTTCAATTTACCCATATATAACCAACACACTTTAAAATGGGGAGAAAAAGGAAATTTATTTACCAGCTTAAAAAAGAAGAACACATATTAACTCTTGTACTACTGCTTGAAGAATACTTACAGAAGTCTCGCCTCAGCTGGGTGCAGTGGCTCACGCCTGTAATCCCAGAACTTTGGGAGGCTGAGGCGGGTGGATCACAAGGTCAGGAGATCAAGACCATCCTGGCTAACACGGTGAAACCCTGTCTCTACTAAAAAGACAAAATATTAGCTGGGTGTGGTGGCGGCACCTGTAGTCCCAGCTACTCAGGAGGCTGAGCAGAAGAATGGTGTGAACCTGAGAGGTGGAGCTTGCTGTGAGCCGAGATTGTGCCACTGCACTCCAGCCTGGGCGACAGAGCGAGACTCGCTCTCACCGCTCTTCCCTTTTTTTTTTTCAAAAGAAGTGAAAATCTAACTCTTAAAAATTAGCAACTGCTATTTCATTCTCCTCCTAAAACATCTCATTCACATAGGGAATTTTCTTGAGAATTGTACTATAATTATTTTACATAAGGTTTTCCATAATACTTACATTTATAGGATTTATTTCCAGTAGGAGTTTTCACATGACTTTTAAAGTAATTGTTAAAATTCAGAATTTTCTGTATTTCCCAAACTACTAGGGTTCCAATCTGGTGGGCATTCTTTTCTTTATAAGGTCAAACTGCAGTATGTGTTACCATGTGTCTCTGAGTGAGTTATAGGATAAATGAAGGCATTCCCACATTCGATACATTCATAAAGTTTTTCTCTAGAATGAGTTATTTTATACCATCAGATACCACTGGAACAACTGCAGGCCTTCCCACATTTTACACATTCATACGCATTTTCTTCAGTGAGTCCTTTCAAGTTTTCAAAAAGAAATGGAAAACTGAATGCTTTACATTATTGCTTATAGTCATAGGGTTTATCTCCAGTTTGGTTCCTTTCATGTATTTGAAGAAATCTGGGGAAATTAAGTACTTTCCTACACCTTACATTCAGAGTTTCTCTCAAGTATGTGATCGTTCATGTTTTTGACAAAAACTGTAGTGATTAAAGCCTTTATATTTTTTTACATTTATAGGGCTTTTCTCCAGTATGAGTTTTTTTATGCTTCCAAAGAGTACTAGCACGACTAAAGGCTTTACCACATTTCTGACATTCATAGGGTTTCTCTCCAGTATGAGTCCTTTCATGGTCACGAAGGGAACTGGAACATCTGAAGCCTTTACCACAACTGTTACATACATAGGGTTTCTGTGCAATATGAGTTTTCTCATGTTTCTGAAGGGAACTGGCATATCTGAAGGCTTTCCCACATTGCTTACATGGATAGGGTTCTTCACCAGCATGAGCCTTTATATGTCCTTGCAAGGAACTGAGACAACTGAACGCTTTGCCACATTCCAGGCACACGTACGGTTTCTCTCCAGTGTGAGTTCTCTCATGGTAGTGAAGGCAATTGGAATAACGGAAGGTTTTCCCACAGTGCTGACATTCATAGGGTTTCTCTCCAGTGTGAGTCCTCTCATGGTCTCGAAGGTGACTGGAACGACTGAAGGCTTTCCCACATTGCTTACATTCATAGCGTTTTTCTCCAGTGTGAATCCTTTTATGTCTATTAAGAGAACGGGAAAAACCTAAGGCTTTCCCACATTCCATACATTCATAGGGTTTCTCTCCAGTGTGATTTCTCTGATGCATCTGAAATGAACTGGGAATATTAAAAACTTTCTCACACATTGTACAACTATAATGTCCATTTCCAGTGTGCATTACTGTGTCTCTTTGAACGCTTGTGACAGACAGGAAAGTTTTCTGACATTGTTTACATGTATATGGCTTCTTTCTGCATCCCTCACACCCATATGGGTTGTTCCAGAGTGAGAGATGATGTGTCTATGAAGGGATGAATGACGTACGAAGAATTTTTCACACGCACTGCATTCACGTGGTTTTACTCCAGTAGGAATTATTTTGTTCAGATTAAAATTTGGCATCTGAAGGTTTTTCTACACTGACTTACTTAATTTTACATAGTATGTCTATCATATGACTTCTACAAAAAATGACAACCCCATCATTAATGGCTTATTAGTTATTTTCTTTTATTACTAAGTCTGAACTTACACTGCTACCAATATCAGAGAAAGTGCAGGTTTTCTAACATAAACAAACTGAACATAAATGGATTGATTAGTCTACAGCATGGTTCCCTCCCCTATAGCTATTAACAAAACAGTGACATTCTTATATGCAGTTTCTTAGTATTGAATACAGTTTGAGCATTTACTCCCTTCCAATTTCATGCTGAAATTTGATCCTCATGTTGGAGGTGTGACCTGGTGTGAGGTGTCTGGGTCATGGGAGCAGATTCCACATAAGAAGTGACTTCTCACTCTATTAGTTCCTGAAAGATCCGATTGCTTAAAAAAAAAATGGCCAGGTGCGGTGGCTCACGCCTGTAATCCCAGCACTTTGGGAGGCTGAGGTGGGCAGATCACTTGAGGTCAGGAGTTCAAGAACAGCCTGGCCAACATGGTGAGATGCTGTCTCTACTAAAAATACAAAAATTAGCTGGGTGTGGTGGTGTGTGCCTGCAATCCCAGCTACTTGGGAGGCTGAGGCCAGAGAATCGCTCGAACCTGGGAGGCGGAGGTTGCAGTGAGCCAAGGTTGTACCACTGCACTCCAGTCTGGATACCAGAGTGAGACTCCGTCTCAAAAAAACAAAACAACAAAAACCAAAAACTTTGGCACTTCCTTTCTCTCTCTCTTGCTCCTTCTCTCGCCATGTGACATGTCAGCTCCCCTTCCCGTTCTGCCATGACTGGAAGCTTTCTGAGGTCCTCATCAAAGGCAGATGCTGGCTCTATGCTTCTGATAAAGCCTGCAGAACCATTAGCCAAATAAAACACTTCATAATAAATTACTCAGCCTAGATATTCCTTTATAGCAATGCAAGTAGACTAAAACAATACTGTTTTCAAGTGAACTATTTTGCAAACACTTAACATCTACGTTACAGTGACGTATGTATTTTTGGTAAAAACTTTGGGAATAAATTGATGTTGTCTTTAATTTATTTTGTTTGCTTGGTTTTTTTTTCCCTCCGAGATGGTGTTTTGTTCTTGTTTCCCCGGTTGGAGCGCAATGGTGCAACCTTGGCTCATTGCAACCTCTGCTTCCCAGGTTCAAGCGATTCTCCTGCCTCAGCCTCCCAAATAGCAGGGATTACAGGCATGCACCACCACACCAGGCTAATTTTGTATTTTTAGTAGAGACGGGCTTTCGTCATGTTGGTCAGGCTGGTCTCAAACTCCTGACCTCAGGTGATCCGCCCACCTCAGCATCCCAAAGTGCTGGGATTACAGGTGTGAGCCACCATGCCTGGCCTTGTTTGCTTTAAACATATTTAAACATAAATTATATACTACAATTGTCCCCAAAGGGGACTGCTTCCTCTTGTGAGTGCAAATTACCTTAGATTTCTTGAAGAATTTTTGTACTGATCTTCAATGCTCTGGTCTTTCCCTTTGTTTCCTAAAATGTAGACCCAGAAATAGATTACAAATTATTTGAAATGATAGAAAAATTACAGATTCTAGGTGCTATGTTGGGGATATGGTTTGTACCCACCAAAATGAATGCTGTCATTTGGTCACCAATATGGCAACATCGTTCATGTTATGGTACAGGTTCCTTATTAACAGATTAATGTCCTTGCTTGGGAATGCATGTTTTCTCTTACTCTTGCGAGACTGAATGAGTTGCCAGAGGGCAGGCTGTCACAAAAGCAAGTTCAGCTGCCAAGCATTGCTCTTATTTTCTCACTGGGTGATCCCTTTGCAGATGCCCACTCGCTTCTGCTTCATGCCCTGAGCTGAAGTAGCATCAGGTCCTTACCAGACACAAACCTGGACTTTCTAGCCACTAGAATCATAAATCATTATAAAACTATTTTTGTAAATTACCCAGAATCAGGTATTGTTATAACAATTAAAAAACAAACTAAGAAACAAGAGTCACTGCACGCTGGGTCCATGCCTCATTCATTCATCAACGTGTTCCCTTTGCGTATTCCAAATCATGGAATGACACTGCAAACCATGAAACACTTATTCTCTGATTGACTAAGTAAGGAAATACTGTGACTCTTACCTATGGAAGCCAGATTCCTGAAGGTTTCCTGCATCACATCTCTATAGAGATTCTTCTGGGAAGGATCCAACAAAGCCCACTCCTCCTGGGTGAAGTTCACAGCCACATCCTCAAAGGCAACCGAGTTCTAAAACATTTCACATTTTTGTAGAGGATGGATGAGACTGAAAGCACTGGAAATCTGTAGTCAATTCATAAGATGTTAACCTGATTCTGTGGTGAACACTGATTCCACAATTTGGTCCCTAGAACTATGACTCTGTCTACACTTACTTTCTCCCACACAGCAGTCCTTTTTTTTTTTTTGAGATGAGTCTCACTCTGTCGTCAGGCTGGAGTGCAGTGGCGCGATCTCAGCTCACTGCAATCTCTGCCTCCTGGGCTCAAGTGATTCTCCTGCCTCTGTCTCTCAAGTAGCTGGGACTAGAGGCACGCGTCACAATGCCCAGCTAATTTTTGTATTTTTAGTAGAGACGAGGTTTCACCATGTTGGCCAGGATGGCCTCAATCTCTTGACCTCGTGATCCGCCTGTCTGTGCCGGGATTAAAGGCGTGAGCCACCGCGCCCAGCCAGCAGTTCTGATGCTAAAGTTGAATTATTCAGCAAGGCAGCAGCAGAGAAGGAACACCCTTCTTTTGGTGGGTCCAGGGAATAATATTTGCTGTTATGATTTTTCTTTATTGAATATACCTGTAGCACATACCATAACAAAGTCTTATTATCTGGTGTGCATAGGAGAGTTAATATTAGCAGTCACAAGATTACTTATCCTTAGAAATACCTGCTACAAAGTTCAAACTTTGCTGGTATCAGGGCACTTACATTTTAAGAGGCATCCCAACAACCTAAGTGATAAAAGTGGCTCACTGTTGCTAAATAGTTTATCTAAACAATCTGGAATTTGCTGAACTCCTGTTTTCCTTCCAAAAGTCTATTATTTTGTTTTATTGTAGCAGTGGTGCCTCGGGGATCAGCCTCAATAAACAAACGAAAACACACTCTGAGCACTGAGTATCCGATGAGCTTCCCTGGGAGACAATATTTCATATATGATGTCACAACTTTTTAATTGGGAAATTGAGCCCAATCCATGTAGTTACACCAAGAGAAAACGTGTAGAAGCTTATAAGTGGTTCACTCAAGCCCAAATTTAATCAAGAGGTAATTAACACTAATAATCAATATTCAATAATCTAAAAATAATTATTTTACAATTTCTATTGAAAAATGTCAACGCAGAATGGAATAAGTGAAAAGGCATGCGTTCAAAGAAAAAAGCTCAATGTCATCTAGATGTTACCTCTCACAAATGATATTCACGTAAAATTTTGTAGATGCCTGAAACAGACTTTCTAGCAGTTCAGCAGAAACTACTTTTCAAAACCTACAGAAATAATAAATGCTTAACACCCGTTAAAGTCTTCTGAATAGCAGTGTGATGGCTTGTCTAACATCCATCAGTGATTTTCAGATGTAATATTCAGGGCAGTGTGGTACAAGCAGAGGATAAAGAACTAGGCCGAGAGAAAGGCACACAGTCTTTAATGAGCTGGAACTGATACGGAAAGCTGACTAAGAACAGAGGAGGCACTGCAGGACAGGGAAGGAAGTACCAAGCACTTTAAACATGGAACAAAGCTGTTATTTAACTGGAAAAAAAATGGATTGCAATGCCCTCTGTTAGGTGGACAATAATCAATTTGTTGTATATTCAAATGTAGAAAGTACAAATAGACCGCTTGCAGAAGTCACAGACAAGGTTTTTTCTGACAAATGAATAGGAGAAAAGGAGCAAACAACAGAGACTGACAAATTTTTTTTTTTTTTTGAGACGGAGTCTCGCTCTGTCGCCCAGGCTGGAGTGCAGTGGCCGGATCTCAGCTCACTGCAAGCTTCGCCTCCCGGGTTCCCGCCATTCTCCTGCCTCAGCCTCCCGAGTAGCTGGGACTACAGGCGCCACCACCACTCCCAGCTAATTTTTTGTATTTTGTTTAGTAGAGACGGGGTTTCATCGTATTAGCCAGGATGGTCTCGATCTCCTGACCTTGTGATCAGCCTGCATCGGCCTCCCAAAGTGCTGGGATTACAGGCGCCGCCACCACGCCCAGCTACTTTATTTGTACTTTTTAGTAGAGACGGGGTTTCACCGTGTTAGCCAGGATGGTCTCAATCTCCTGACCTCGTGATCCACCCGCCTCGGCCTCCCAAAGTGCTGGGATTACAGGCTTGAGCCACCGCGCCCGGCAAGACTGACAAATTCTAATATATTAAAATTAGGGGAATTAAAAGACAAAAAACAGTAAAATAAAAATCTGCAATACATGCAATATAAAATAAATTAGTGTGCACAGTAAAAATGAATGAAAACATGATTTAAAAATGGGGAAAAAATAAGCAAAAGATACATAACAAGATAAAAGACCATTTATGGAAAGAGATCCATTTTCTTGGTAATAAGATAGCCAAACAGTATGGCATATAGACAATAGTTCACATTCTTTAGAAGAATGAAAATTAGACAATCTCAAGTGGTGATCACCACACCAAATAAACATGCAGAAATGAAGGCCAAGGCAGTGGATAGACTCCATTGCTATTTCCAGTAATTTGAACTTTATCACAATCTACAGTCCAGTAATTTTTCTCTAATGTCCAGAAAATTTATTGTGCCTTATCGGGGTTTATATTCGGCATTCTTAAGGAAAAGCAATTCCAACCACGAATTTCTCATCTAGCCAAAATAAGCTTCATTAGCGAAGGAGAAATAAGATCATTTTCAGACAAGCAGCTACTAAGATAATTTGTTACCACTAGCTCTGCCTTACAAGAGGTCCTAAAGGGAGTGCTAACTATGGAAAGACCATTACCAGCCACCACAAAAACACACTTAAGTACATCGACTAGTGACACTATAAAACAACCATACAAACAAGTCTGCATAATAACTAGCCAATGGCACAATAACAAGATCAAATCCACACATATAAATAGCCAGGAGTTCCAGACCAGCTTGGACAATATAGTGAGACATTGTCTCTACGAAACAATAAAAAAATTAGCCAGGCCTGTTAGCACATGCCCATAGTCCCAGTTACTCGTGAGGCTGAGGTGGGATGACTGCTTGAGCCCAGGAGGCAGAGGCTGCAGTGAGCCGAGATCGTGCCACTGCACTCCAGCCTGGGCAGAACAAGACACTGCCTCAAAAAAAAAAAAAAATAAAGTGAAAACAAAACAAAACAAAACAAAAAAACCAGATGCTGGTAAAGTTGTGGAGAAAAGGGAATGCTCATACACTGCTGGTGGGAATACAGTTCACTCATTTGGGAAAGCACTGTGGCGATTTCTCAAAGAAATTAAAACAGAATTCCCACCAACCCAGCAATCCCATTTACTGAGTATATATCCAGAGAAACAGAAATCATTCTACCGTAAAGAAATGCGTATGTACAGGTTCACGGCAGCATTGTTCACAAATGTGTATACACCACATTCTCTTTGTCCAGTCCCCTGTTCATGGGCATCTACGTTGATTCCATGTATTTACTATTGTGTACATGTGCCCCGGAACCTAAAATAAACATTTACAAAACAAGCAGAATACATAGACAAGAAGAGTAAAACACATATAAAAGAAATCTGTGTCTTAAATCTTCTGTAAAAAGTCTCTAAGGGCACACCAGCAAGTTGGATAACACTGATGAGGTGAACAAACGTCTAGAAATACACAGTGTACCAAGACTGAATCATGAAGAATTAGGAAATCTAAACAGACTCACAGTCATATGACATTGATGTAGTGATCAGACCCCCTAAATTATAAAAACCCAAGACCAAATTGTTTTACTGACAACATCTATTGAACATTAAAAAAATTAATACCTGGGCGCGGTGGCTCACGCCTGTAATCCCAGCACTTTGGGAGGCTAACATGAGGCAGATCATGAGGTCAGGAGATCAAGATCATCCTGGCTAACATGGTGAAACCCCGTCTCTACTAAAAAGGCAAAAAAAATTTGCTGGGCCTGGTGGGGGGCGCCTGTAGTCCCAGCTACTCGGGCGGCTGAGGCAGGAGAATGGCGTGAACCTGGGAGGCGGAGCTTGCAGTGAGCCGAAATTGCGCCATTGCACTGCAGCCTGGGCGACAGAGCAAGACTCCATCTCAAAAAAATTAACAAAAAAATTAACACCAAGCCTCCTCAAACTCTTCCAAAAAAAATGAAGAGAAAGCAACACTTCTAAACTCAGTCTATGAGGCCAAAAAATTACACTTACACTAAAGATGGACAAAGACACTACAAAAGCTACAGCTGTAACTATAAAATACAGTTATATAAAGTACAGTTATAACTACTAACTCAGAACTCTTCACTTAAGTACTAACGCAGAAATCCTCATTTAAGTACTTAGTGCAGAAATCCTCACTTAAGTACTAACCATATTTAGCATCATAGTAAAAGGATTATGCACCAAGTGAGATTTATTCCTAAAATAAAATGGTTCAATATATGAAAAATCAATCAGTGTAATACATAACATTAGCAAAGTGACTGAAATATCAGAACTATTGCAACTGATGCAGGAAAAGTATTTGGCAAATTGTTAAGACCCATTCATGATACAAACACAATAAACGAGGACTAAAAGGAAACTACAATATGAAAAACCAGCACTAACATCACCATCAATGCTGAAATATGGAAACGAACAAGCAAAAAACCCTTTTCTCCCAAGATGAGGAAAGAGCTATAGAGAACACCTGCTTTTATCACCCCCATTCAACACAGTATTGGAAATCCGGGGCACAGTGATCGGGCAAGGTTGTTGTTCAGATTTAGCATTAATGTGCCAAATGCTGGCAACAGAAAATAGCACAGACTTATCCACTCTAACAGTTCTTCATCCTGCAAGAAACAAACTGATGTTTTGGTTAATTTTTGTAATTCACCAATTTATGTATCACACTTTTGTGTGTGGAAACGTATTCACTTTTTATAACCATAAAGGAAGAGAGATTTTTCCTATTTCTCTTCCCTAGTAGGATTCCTGATTAAAAGCCCTAGAATTTCATTTGAAATTACCCAAAAGAAGAGACCTCAAAAAATTACTACATATGCTCAGGGGAATGAAAATAACATATATCAAAAAAACTCTTCTAAACATTGGCTTAGGCAAAGAATTCATGACCAAGACTCAAAAGCAAATTCACAAAAACAAAAATTAAAAAATGGCACCTAATTAAATTAAAAAGCTTCTGCACAGCAAAAGAAATCATCAGCAGATTAAACAGACAACCCACAGAGTGGGAGAAAATCTTCACAAACTATGCATCCTACAAAGGACTAATAACCAGAACTTACAAAAAACTCAAACAAATCAGCAAGAAAAAATTCCATCAAAAAAGTAGGCAAAGGGCCGGGCGCAGTGGCTCACGTCTGTAACCCCAGCACTTTGGGAGGCCGAGGCGGGTGGATCACAAGGTCAGGAGATCGAGACCATCCTGGCCAACATGGTGAAACCCCGACTCTATTAAAAATACAAAAGTTAGCTGGGCGTGGTAGTGGGTGCCTGTAATCCCAGCTATTTGGGAGGCTGAGCCAGGAGAATGGCTTGAACTCGGGAGGTGGAGGTTATAGTGAGCCAAGGTCATGAACTCCAGCCTGGCAGAGGAAGACTCTGTCTCAAAAAAAAAAAAAAAAAAGTAGGCAAAGGACATGAATAGACAATTCTCAGAAGAAGGTATACAAATGGCCAATAAATATGAAAAAAAATGCTCAATATCACTAATTATCAGGGAAACGCAAATTAAAACCACAATGAGATACCACCTTACTCCTGTAAGAACAGCTGTAATCATAAAATAAAAAAAAATAGATGCCAGGATGCTGGTGTGGATGTGGTGAAAAGGAAAATCCTCTACACTGCTGATGGGAGTGTAAACTAGTACAACTGCTATGGAAAACAGTATGAAGATTCCTTAAAGAACTAAAAGTAGAACTACCATTCAATCCAGCAATCCCACTACTGGGTATGTACCCAAAGGAAAAGAAGTCATTATATGAAAAAAACATGCCTGGGCGCAGTGGCTCACGCCTGTAATCCCAGCACCTTGGGAGGCTGAAGCGGGTGGAAGACCTGAGGTCAGGAGTTTGATACCAGACTGGCCAACATGGCAAAATCCTGTCTCTACTAAAAATACAAAAAAAAAAAGGTGGTGCATGCCTGTAGTCCCAGCTACTGGTAGGCTGAGGCATGAGAATCCCTTGAACCCACATGACGGAAGGTTGTAGTGAGCTGAGATGGTGCCACTGCGCTACAGCCTGGGTGACAGAGTGAGACTCTGTCTCAATTTAAAAAAAAAAGAGAAGGCAAGAAAAAAACACTTGCACACACATGTTTATAGCGGCACAATTTGCAACTGCAAAAATATGGAACAAACCTAAAATGCCCATCAACCAATGAGTGGATCAAGAAAATGTGGTGGAATACTACTCAGCCATAAAAAGGAATGAAATAATGGGCTTTGCAGCAACTTGGATGGAGTTGGAGGCCATTATTCTAAGTGAAGTAACTCAGGAATGGAAAACCAATTATTCTATGTTCTCATAAGGGGGAGCTAAGCTATGAGGATACAAAGGCATAAGAATGATCCAATGGACCTTGGTGATTTGGGGGCAAGGGTGGGAGGGGGTGAGGGACAAAAGATTACATACTGGGTACAGCATACACTGATCAGGTGACAGGACCAAAATCTCAGAAATCCCCACTAAAGAGCTTATCCTTGTAACCAAAAACCACCTGCTACCCCAAATTTATTGATATAACATTAAAAAAATTTTCTAATTAAAAAAACTATATATATACAAAGTGGATTTAAAATATTGACATATGTGTATATAAAATACCTACATACAAATGTAGATATTTTAAATCCACTTCTTTCTTTGCCTCTTTGTAAATATTTTATCTTTAAAGCTCTATTGATGAAATACATTTCACGTTTACCTAAGGCACCAATAAATGAACAAATCTTTGCAAGAGGACAGTCCAGGAAGGAGCAGTGCTAACTGGAACACAGGCATGTTTGACTCACATATCAAGAAAGACCATGTCTAAAACAGGAGATTCTCTGGTCCCGTTCTCCTTGGAGACTAGGTACTCAAGGACTGCCTTCCCAGTGCACTGCGCTGTGGCCCACTGTGTGCCTAAGGTGCAGTTTGCTTGGCAGGTTTTTGTGTCATGTTCCCGGGTATCAGTGGAACCCGCCCCCGATAATTCAATGTGAGTCCTTTTCTATTTTCCCTAAGTGTTGGCTGGTCTGAGAAATAAAGGGAAAGAGTACAAAAGACAGAAATTTTAAAGCTGGGTGTCCGGGAGAGACATCACATGTTGGCAGGTTCTGTGATGCCCGCAAGCCGCAAAACCAGCAAGTTTTTATTAATGATTTTCAAAGGGGAGGGAGTGCGCAAATAGGGTGTGGGTCACCCAGATCACATGCTTCACAAGGGAATAAAATATCACAAGGCAAATGGAGGCAGGTTAAGATCACAGGACTGGGACAAAATTAAAAATGCTAATGAAGTTTCATGTCCCACTGGGCACGCATTGTCATTGAGAACATCTTATCAGGAAACAGGGCTTGAGAGCAGACAACCAGTCTGACCAAAATTTATTAGGTGGGAATTTCCTTGTCCTAATAGGCCTGGGAGCACTATGGGAAACCCGGGCTTATTTCATCCCTTATCTGAACCATAAAAGACAGACGTTCCCAGAGCGGCCATTTTAGAGACCTCCCCCTAGGAACGCATTCTCTTTCTCAGGGCTGTTCCTTGCTGAGAAAAAGAATTCAGCAGTATTTCTCCTATTTGCTTTTGAAAGAAGAGAAATATAGCTCTGCTCCGCACGGCTCTCAGGCAGCCTGACCTAATGGTTATCTCCCTTGTTCCCTGAACATCGATCGCTGTTATCCTGTTCTTTTTTCAAGGTGCCCAGATTTCCTATTGTTTAAACAATTTGTGCAGTTAATGCAATCATCGCAGGGTCCTGAGGCGACATACATCCTCAGCTTATGAAGATGATGGGATTAAGAGATTAAAGACAGGCACAGGAAATCACAAGAATATTGATTGGGGAAGTGATAAGTGTCCATGAAATCTTCACTTTATGTTCAGACACTGCAGTAAAGACAGGCGCTAAGAAATTATAAAAGTATTAATTTGGGGAACTAATAAATGTCCATGAAATCTTCACAATTTACGTTCTTCTGCCATGGCTTCAGCTGGTCCCTCCGTTTCAGGTCCCTGACTTCCTGCAACACTGGGAAGAAATTTTCTTGTTCCTTAAAGATTGTTTTTCTCCCTTCACAAGTGTGAAAGAATTCAGAGGGCAGGAATCATTTCTGTCTTTCCCTCAAAATACCAGCACTGGATTGGATGACACCAGTGTCTGTCCCAGGAATAAAAACTGGGGTTGAGCCTGTATGCCCAGCTCCAGTGATAATGTACACCTGGAAAGAGTGAAACAGGAGACTCTGAAAGAGGTGAGGAACAACACACAAAGTGGAAAAGGAAGTAACTGAAGGCTTTGTGCAGGAGCTGAGGAAGCGGGATTCTTCTTGACCACAGGGATCCAGAAGACCTGCATCTCCTTTCTGCACACCCTGCCTGTCACCCCGCTTTCCTGCCTCCACTTGACTTGAATGCACAGGAATGCATCTTCCCCACACCCCATTCCACGTGAAAAACCCTAAGTGCATGTGGGTTTCCCGGCACAGCTGCCCACACTCATACTGGCTGCTGATTGGCTGGGGACTCGTACCCTGCCCACACCCATACTGGCTGCTGATTGGCTGGGGACTGGTACCCTGCCCACACCCATACTGACTGCTGATTGGCTGGGGACTGGTACCCTGCCCACACCCATACTGGCTGCTGATTGGATGGGGATTCCTCACCCTTTGCTTCCTTCCCTTCTGCCATCACCTGGGGGCTGGTCCCTGGCTTAGGATGCACCAGTTAACCCACAATGACAGGGAAGGAAGGGCGGAATTTCACATTTTCTTGTTCCAGAATCACTTTAATGCTTAATGCTTCCAAATTTGTTTTCTGTCCCAGAAAAAAAAATTATATATGTTTGTGTGTATATATATATACACACACACACACATACATATATACACACACATATATAATTTTAAAAATTATATATATGTATATATATACACACACATAATTTTAAATATATATTTTTACATATATTTTTTACATATATATATTTGGGTCTCAGAGAAAAAGGGATTTTTTTTGTTTGGTTTTATAAAATGGGCTGTGGAGTTTTTAAATGCTATAGGCCCGCCCCATTTGAGGCAGCTAGTTAAGGGGAGGGGGTGTCCCAACAGCTTGGGGTGCCTCCCCCAACTCCAGGGACTCCCTTTCCCTCTGGCTCCTCCCCCTTTTCTAAGTGAAATTAAAATGCTGTAACATTTTGGAACCTCAGTTTCTTCGTGTTTTTTGTGGGGTAGGTTTGAGGCTCCAGGCCATTTGTTTTGTTTTTTTTTTTTACCTTGTGGAGAAAATAAGATGAGGGAGAAAGGAAAAGGGAAGGAAACTTCTCTCCCACCTTCAGCTTCTTGAAAATGGGCCCCTGTGGAATAAATCTGCCAGTTTTTATTTAAAAAGAAACAAAAAAACAAAAAATACAAAAAACAGGTTGAGGAGAGACATTCGAATTGTCCTAAGATATGAGCTTCTTAAATGAAGGGCACAGCAGCTCCAGGGCCTCCCTGTGAGGCTCCACTCCCACCACTCACCTGTCCTTGGAGATGACTCATGGTCTGGCTTCCCTGGATGCTGCAGGGTCATGGCCACTGTGGGCTCCTGGGACATCACCAGGCAGTTCTGAAGCCCAGGACCATGAAAAGACAGAAGGGTGGCTGAGGCCACATCACCGTTGTAGTTTCCAAAAACAACCCTCAACCCAAAGACATTCTGATAAAGTATCTGCACTTAGGGAAGATAAAAAGAGGAGAGGCAACTAGATCATTTACAGTGCAAGAGTGGGAGATGATTCTCTGCTTCCCCCGCATGTGCAATGTTCACAACCAAAAAGCAAATCTTAAAAAGTAACATCTACTATTTAGTGAAAAAATAATAAACAATTAAAACTATGTCTGTGTTTGAAATGTAGAATAAAGGACAAATAGTGGATAATGTTGTGAATTAATGAAGTCTAACTCAAATGCAACTCTTGTAAATTACTCACAAGAAAATTCAGGTTTAACCAACCACAAACCTCCAATTAATCTCTGCAAATATCTACGGAATAGTCCAAATAAGAGGACTACATAACTGCAACCAATCAGCTACTCTGTAAAAGCCTTCCCATCAGGCCCCTCTGGTGGACCCTCCACTCACAAACCATGGCCAGGTGCTCCCTCAAATCCCAAACCATGGCGAGGTGCTCCCCGATGTATGAATCACTGTTTGTTCAAATAAACTCTTGAAAATGGAAAGGTGCTGTGTTTAATTTTTGACAGGAGAAAGGAGGGTCTGAGAATCCCAGGAACCACAAGCTCCTCCCACACATGAACACCCTGCCCCAGCAAGCAGGGATTCTCCCCTGATGACCCTTCTGTTATCCTTGCAGGATGCCCAGGTCCCCACTACAGACCCAGTCCCCGCCCTACAGCCAGGGGATACTGAGGCCAGGCTGCACCAGCAAGCAGGAGGGGCTGCAGACTCCGGAGCTGACTGCAGGGCGGCCTGGGTCCTGCCACAGCCGTTTCTAGCAGGTTTTACCCACACCTCGCCCACTTCTTGGGAGGCCTGGCTCTGCCCATTCCTGGCTTCTGGGGTATCCTAAATTTCTTCCTAGGGCTCTTCCAGTTCCTGCAAGTCACGAGGTGACAGAGACCACAGCAGAGTCACCTGGGGCTTCCCAGAGCCCAGGAAACAGCCACGGAGATCAGACCACAAGCTCAGCGGGTAGGTACAAAGACAGCGGCCCAGGCAGATTGCCTCCTCTCTGACTGTGCAGCTGACTAGACAGTTCCCAACTCAGTGCCCCTGACTGTACAGGACTCCCGGCCCTGCCCCCTTCATCTGTGAGTGACAGGGGATGCTACCAACCATGTGACTACATCAGGTCTGAACCCCAGGTTTTTGGCTACAGCTCTACTCAGGCAGGGCTTCCACCTGAGAGCTGGGGGAAGGGCCCCAGCCAGGGGACATTCGCCTGTAAGCCAGACTTGGCCTTGGCTTTCCACAGCGGGCCCTGCGTCTTCCTGCAGTCCTTAAACTCTTCCTGCTTCTTCCTCCTGAACACAGGATCCCACGTGTGCACAGGGAAGCACAGACTCAGTGACCAACAGAGCCATCCTGACCTAAGGGAAGGATGGTTGCCCGGACCAGGCTTTTAATTTGGGAGGAGGCTGCCGGCCCATAGCCAAGGCTTCCTCAAACCCCATTCCTCAACCTGCTCATATTCAGCCACAGAAATAAAAAATAAAAAGACACTGACAAAGAACTAAATTTATGAAATATATGGAAAAACTAGAGTTATATGGCAGCAACAGTCTATACAGAAATTAAAAGAGAAGAAAACCAAACGTTTAAACTGGCTCAGAAGAGGACTCTGCTTCACCCACAGTTCACAATGAAAACCCACATTTGGAAAGTTAAATATATTTCATGCTTGGAAGCCAGACTCTGACTTCAGTGGGGACTGTTCCCTGGTGATGAGGCACGGAGACCCTAAGAGTTAACTCTGGGAGCTCAGCAAGCCCTCCTATCTATCAGGTTCTTATGTGAGAAAATAAAGCCCCAAAGAAAAGACTGACAAGTTTGACGGTTCTAAAATTAAGAACTGTCCATCAACTTGTAGAATGAAGTGAAAAACAAAATGCAACCTGGGAAAAAGTATTTACAGTCTTTACAAACGAACATGGATTAGTGTTTGGAGTGTGTTTGACAAAAACACACACACACAAACGACAAAAGCAATAAACATGCAAACAGGTAAAATGTGAGAAAATGATGAAAAACTATTTCAAAGAAGATGAAAGACCACACACACACAAATGCTCAAAGCAAATGGTAATTAGCAAGAAGCAATATACAACCACACAGAAATAAACAAGAATAATTTTTTTTAAAGACGAGGTATCTCCGTCACCCAGGATGGAGTGCAGTGGTTCCATTACAGCTCACTGCAACCTCAAACTCCTAGACCCCAGCAATCCTCCTGCCTCAGCCACCCCAGTAGCTAGGCAGGTGCCGCCATGCCAACTCATGTTTATTTTAAATTTTTTTGTAGAGATGGGGGTCTTGCTATGTTGCCAGGCTGGTATCAAACTCCTGCCTCAGTTTCCCAAAGCACTGAGATTACAGGCGTGAGCCACCACATCTAGCCTGAATAAATACTGAAAAGGAATAAAAGCACAGGCATGAATAGTCAAGCAGCAAATCTATACATTCCACTGGCAGTTCTTAGTAAATCTGAATGTATCCATCATCTACAACCCAGCAATTTTTTCCCAATAAGTAATACATTTATAAACTGTTAGCACTTGGGGACAAAACCAAGAATAACATCGTCACATTAAAAACAAACTTGAAACAACTCAAGTCCCGTAAGCAACGGAATGGGTGGGTAAACTGGTTGACCCCTCCACCCTCCAGGCAGCAGTATGTGTGCAACAGATTGAGGCAAAGAAACCACAAAAAGAAGCCACGAAGAATAACAAAAGAGGCCAGGCATGGTGCCTCACACCTGTAATCCCAGCACTTTGGGAAGCTAAGGCGGGCAGATCACCTGAGGTCAGGAGTTTAAGACCAGCCTGACCAACATGGTGAAACCCTGTCTCTACTAAAATACAAAAACTGGCAGGCGTGGTGGTGGGCACCTGTAATCTAAACTACTCAGGAGGCTGAGGCAGGTGAATTGCTTGAACCCAGGAGGTGGATCACACCACTGCACTCCAGCCTGGGTGACAGAGCAAGACTCCCTCTCAAAAAAAAAAGAAAAGAATGAAAAAAGAATCAGGACCGCGATCACCCCTGTGGGCAGAAGACAGGTGGGATCAGGGAGACACACCGGAACTGCCCAGGGCCTCTTTATTCCCCGGGTGGTGAGTCCATGACTCTTCACATTCTTATTATTTGAATTTAGCATAAAACAATTTATTTCAAGAATTATCTTTGCTTTTTCAGACCACATCTATTAACTTGGATTTTCAAATAAGAAAATACAAATCTTATATACTCACGTTCATAAGCGTAGGGCTCACCCTCACTGTGGGGAGGCAGCCCCGGGTGGCTCACTCCTAGGCAGTGAACGAGGAAAACCTGAGCAGCCACAACATTCAATGCCGGGAGCTCCACACTCCTGACTGTCCCCTCCTCACAGGGTGAAAATGCTCTTTCCTCCAGGGTCTCAATTCTCACCACTGACCAGTCACTGGGAGTCAGTCTGAGGTTCTGACATGTGATGTCTTTTCTTCTGACACTAAATGTGTGAAGTTTGCTGAACACCAACCAATTCTCCAACACAACTGAACGTGCAACTCAATTCGGAACTACTGGGGTCGGCGCAGACTCCACATGTTTGGGGCTCAGTCCCACAACACTGCCCCCACTACAGATGCTCGTCCCAAGCCCCAGGGCCATTTGTACTTCTGAGCCACTATGAACTACAGACTTCCGTAACCCCCTCCTCAAGTTTAATAATTGGACAGAACTACTCACAGAACTCAGCAAATCACTTTATTTATATTTACAGTTTATTATAAAGGACACAACTCAGAAACAGTCAAAGGGAAAAAATGTACAGGGTGAGCAAAAGAGGCAGGGAAAGGTAGGGGGGGTGGGGAACCCTGGTAAACAGCTGTGATTAAAGAAATCCGCTATCATTTCCATGTATCAAGAGCAGCTTACTGCAAAGAAACATCCTTTTCATCGTGACTTAGATGATGCTTCCTTTTTTACCTCTCACAAAGCCAGACACAAACTCCGCAAATTCTCTTTTTTTTTTTTTGCTTCATAAACAATTAGATGAACATTTTTCTCTTCACTAGTCAGAAAAAAATATCTGTTGGCCGGGCGCGGTGGCTCACGCCTGTAATCCCAGCACTTTGGGAGGCCGAGGCGGGCGGGCCACAAGGTCAGGAGATCGAGACCA